GGACCGAGACGGAGTCGAGGTCCATAAACTCGCAAAAAATGAACTTGGCCAATATCCAGCCATCTTGACCTCACACTTGGTCAATAACCCATATGTATAGCATAAATTGCAAAGCCGTTACAGAACATAAGCGTGCATATAAAGAGTGTTTGGCAAATTAGCATATTATAGGCTTAAATTAAGAGGCTAAATTATATTAATGTCAGCCATTTTGAATAATCAAATCCAGCCGGTGTCAGGAACTCGTTTGTCCAGTTTGGCTCAGACGTCAGTGCTTTCTCATTGGCTTACAGCCAAGCCTTTTTGTTCTTTCGCTTTATAAGTGCGACACCACCCGGATGGTTGGGCGGCTAGTTAACTCCACCGCAATATACACATCTCTCTTGATCTCTCTTAAAACAATATCTCCTGGATATATAATCAAGTATCCTTTCTCAACCATCCCCCTAAATATCCCCCCAATATCCCCTCACAGCCTACATCTCATTAATCGCCTATATATACCTACACAGCCCACTTCTCAGTAAACCCCCCACATATAACTACACAGCGTACATTTCATTAATCCCCTACATATACTTACCCCTAGTCATACTTACACAGCCTACATCTCATTAATCCCCCTCATATACCTACACAGCCCACATCTCATTAATCACCCACATACACCTACACAGCCTACATCTCATTAATCCCCCTCATATACCTACACAGCCTACATCTCATTAATCCCCTACATATACCTACACTGCCGACATCTCATGAATCCCTCACATTTACCTTCAGAGTCTGCATTTCATTAAATTGTTTCTAGAGTCATTACTCATTATATTCAGTGGTTATCACCTCATGCAGAACCAAGAGTTCTTAAGAGATAAGTAAACAAGTAAATTGACTATCGCCATTCAAATTATCCACTTGTAGCCTGAAAACAGGTTCCCGGTTGGATTAGTGGGTTTAGTGCGAGCTAGTCGAGTGTGGTCTAGGGCGAGCGGTCTAGTCGAGTGTGGTCTAGGGCGAGCGGGGAGAGCCGAGAGCGGAATGCTGACGAGGAGGAGCGCAGTTCGCGGAATTCTTTTTTCCGCGCTTAACGGCTCGCTTTGCTCGCCTGATATTTTTTTTTTCCGGCCCCGCCGGATTTTTTTCGGCCCTCGCTGGGAGCCTGCTCGCAGGCTAGTTCTCCTGCCGTGCGTTCAGCCGTTCGAACGGACACTGTAAGGAACGTTTTCGCGTGAGCTAGAGGTCACATATTTGCCGATGCATTTTTGTGGTTTAATCAGTAAAATTCTTCTTTTAACGAAGCTTTTAGGGTCGAGAAAGCAAAATTGGCGATGTACTTCTTTTTACGTGACGCATGATTGGTGAAAAACTTTCCCTGTAATGCGTGATTTAATAGAAAAATTCAGCGTGATACGTGATTGGTACCCCACCTTTGCCACACACTAGGGTTAATCCAGAGAAAATGAGGGGAGTTTCTTTTGGGTTAATTAAATGATTATCAAGACGTCATCCTTTCCGAAAAGTTTCGTTTTCAAAATGTTTTCCGTCCACACTAAATCACAAATCTGGCGATTTTAAATTACGCCGGTTTTAAAGAGTGTTTTCGAAAAGCTCCGTTTTCGGTGGGCAATTTCTCCAGATTGGGTTGGGCCGTAGGCCTAAGCGTTAAAATAAAGCTGCGTTTTCAATTCCTCCTGCACAGTATGGACAGGGCCTTACTCAGTAGAAAGACATTTACTTTTCAAGTAAACGAGAGTACAAATTAGTCTTGACCTGACAAATTAGCCTCGTCTTGACTATTCCTCAATGCCTTATCGTTGTTAATATAATTCTTCGAAATCGACAATTAATTTCAATTTGTTGGAGATAAATTTTTCATTTGTAGCTTTAATTGTCATCCTTTTTTGTTCAAAGCCTCCGGGTCTTTTTACAGCCATGGCTTAACCACCTTAATTAAGAAGTTCTCTCTTTGGCTTAAATCAGTGGGAATTATTCTACAACTTGTTACGATTGCTTAGCAATCTCGCCGAAAACTGTTTTGTTTATGGAAATCAGTGACAAAAGCGATTTTCAAAGAAAACATTGCTACTGAACGCGCGCTACTCCACGTAATCGAGTTTACAAAACCAGTACATCACCGAAATTTCTAAGGGTTCCTTTTTCTCAAAACTTTAAGACCGGAAAACAGAACTTATGCCCCAAATTCAGGCTTTAATTATCCCACGACGTCGAGTTAAAACATTAATATGGCTAACTGGAATTGTCGTTCTGGTTCAGTTCTTTGTGTTTGTGGCGGTTCAAGTGCGATCAGACAAAGGCTTTTTTACGGAAGACTGTTCTACACTTAAAAGCACAGGTACTGTATGCGTTCTTTTCTATGTATGTTTTTTAGATTCAATTCGTTCAATACTTGCTCCAAAACGGGATCGCCCACATAACAGCAAAGATGAAGGCACATGTATTATGGCTTGAATGCTGTCGCTAAGATCAGAGAGATGAAAAGCCCAGTGGCTTATCGATCCTAAATCATTTTTATCTAACAACATGTTGGAGCCTGCTGTTCAGACAAACATTGTTAATCGCAACTGAAATGTCCGATGACAATATTTTATGTAGATCAAGCATTTTTATTCACAATTCCGCGTCGCGAGTATTGTTTGAACATTCAGTTATCACGTCCGTCCAACATGTTTTGAACTAAAATCCGTGATCTTTAATTATAACTGAGTCAACTATTTAACCGTTAATTTCCCGAAAAAGTAACTAGCACTCAGTCTTAAAATCATAAATTCTGTCAAGTAAATTCAGGTTTGACCAACTCAGTGCCAAATTGATGAAAATTAAACCTGCATCCTTCTAAACCTTTGTTAAAAGCACTCTTTCGCCTGTCGGTGTATAGTCAGTATACCTTGGTTTCTACATTCATCATTTCAGAAACAGAATACTTCTGAGATAAACGATCATGTGTTGGCCAATATTGCTCACTCGCGTTTTGAAAATGAAATGAAAACTCCAACATTACGGGAGCTTGAAAATTTTGCGGTCCAATCATTAGATGAAAATGCATTAATTCTTGATATTTCTACGCTTGTCGGAACGATGTCGCAATACAGAGTCTACACTAATAATTATTTCTCCACTGAAGGTGTGTAAAGGCAAGGATATTTGTAGAGCAGCGAGGCGTTTCTAAGATTCAAACACTCGAACATGTAAATTAATGTTGCTCTTACTTTATTAATTTTGTCAATTTCGTTTTCAGTCAGTTTCCTTGCGACAATATTTGTTTATATAGATCCTTTGAGTTAGCTAGCGTGGGTGTGTGAGTTGCTTTGGGTTCTTACAGCAAGGAAATGAATTATATAAGAGTCCGTATATTTTCCATTTTCTTTCTTTTGTTATCCATAGCTATGGCTCTTTCGATGTATTAAAATTCAGCTTGATAGTGAGTCCTAGAGGACACAAACAAAGGAAATGAATAAACTTGCATTCAATTTCCTTTGTTTTTGTCCTCTAAGCCTCGCTGCCATGCTGAATTTTAATGTAGAATGTGGTCTAATCCAAGCCCCTTCATCCACTGTTTAGTTTTGTTGTCTTTTTCAATGTTGCAAATGCCCCGCGGTTGGGCTTAAATATGATTTGTGTGTGTGGTGAAGCTTTGGGAAGACTGCAAATGCCCGACCCAAGAGACAAGGTCGAAGCTCTATTTTTCTGATTGGAGATGAAAGCAGCAATTGTTCACAAGTAAAGATATCTTTATTGATACTTGTAACCATGGTTTTCGTGAAGAAATGCATCTTTAGAAAGGAAAAAGTGATGCAACACTGAACAGGCATTCTATTTCGTCGGGGACCGTATGCCCATATTTCTATCTTTGACTATCAGTAGTGTGATTTCACAAACCCCAATTCTTATATGCCAATTAGAAACCTCCAATGCTAATGAGTGTGTACATAAAGGTAAAACTTCCGCACGTACGCCTACAACAGACAAAAAAACACGATGTTTTTAAACTCTTTTTCATTGAACAGATCTACAAGCAATTTGCGTTCACATTCCAGATGCTGCTTGGAAACGTTCATAAAGCTTAGCTTCAACAACTGCAATATGTCTGTTATTCGATGACAAGAAGAAATAACTCGGATGATTACGTGCACACGCTAAAACGTGCCTAAACAAGAACTAATTTCGTTTTGGCATTCAAAATTACTGTGCGTCTATAGACAGTTCAGT